CAGCCCTCTCCTTTGCTGCCGGCAGTGTTTTAGGAATCCCTGGGGCTCCAGGCCACCTTCCACCGCCCGGACTTCCTTGTGGCAGCATTCCGGAGTTCTTTCCATTGTCTGGGCACCTCCGTTGATTTCTTTGCAGCCAGTGGGTGAGCTGGTTTTCCGGTCAGCCGACACAACCGCCTCTACCTTTCAGCTCCAAAATCGTTGGGTAGCTCCGGAGTCACTGCCCAGGGATCTGGGGCAAACTCTGAAGACCAGGTGTGGCTTTGCGGCTCTTGAGTGTCTTCAAATAGCCTTCACACCATTTTTTACAGCTGGCAAACGGTCCATGAGGAAGCGGTTTGCCACTCACGCCCGCCATTTTGTTTATTGCCACGGCAGCGCTTGGAGAGGCTTGCTTGCCTCGTGCCTTGTTTCTTTGCAGTTTGCTTGGCTACCTGTCGTTAAAGACTTGTTTGGACTGAGGAAGTGGGAGCCTTGAGGTGAAGCGGCGTTTAAGTGTCTGGTTTGACTCCAGCACCTTAATTCCTGGTGCTCCGGAGGCCTGAGCCACCACTGGGAAACGGTGCGGCCTTGCATCGCTATTTCCAGGAATTTAGACACAGCAACGAGGAAGGACAGGTTTCCCTGCGTTGGTGTAGGGGTTTTTCTATTTCTGTCCCTTCAGTCCAGTCTCTTTTCAGAGCTGGCATTGGGTGGCTGGTGTCCTTGGGAGCTGTCTTTTACCACTTACTCTGTGGAATGATAATCTGCTGGACCTGTTGGACTAAAACAGTTCCATCGTTGCCTTCTGCCTTTCTCCTTCTGAGCAGCATTCCTAAGGGGTGGTTATCATGTCTGACTCTGCTCTGTCTTCTGACATGGAGCAAGTTGCTGGCTCTCCCAAAGCCCATAGGTCCAAGAACTCTGGCTCTAAAAGGGCTAAAAAATCCACCAGGACTGCAAAGACTAGGCCTTCATCATTTGGCTCTTTCAAACGGCCTGCAAGGATTGACAAGGACGCTAACAGGTATCACAAAGCCTTGGAGAGGCAGTTTAATAAGGCACAATGCAATGCTTAGGCTGCAGAGCTGCACAATGCTTCTCCCTCTGGAGCCATCTCTTGTGATCAGGCTGTTATTCTTCCACATACTGGGATTCCTGGCCTACAGGGAAGGGCTGCATCTGAGGCTGGTACTTCTTCACAGCCATTGAATGATGTTTCACAGGCGGACCAGGGGCTGCATAGACACCCACTACCAGTTCACCAGGCCCTATCAGCTACCTTCACCCCAACCGCAGTGGGGCTCCACGCGGGGGGTGGACCCTGCTATGACCAGCCATTGGACATTCAAGCCCTGATTTCTAACGCTCTGTCCAAAATGCTGGCAGCTGGCATTCAACAGGTCGGCCAGGTTCCATTAGTGGCATCCAATCCATAGATGTTAGCAGCTGGAATTCAACAAGGCAGTCAGGCCCCACTTGTGTCCAAACCACAAGTGCAGTTTCCAGAGCATCCTTCTGGCAGGCATGCTTCCCCATCTCAGCAGGAATCCTCACAAGATAATGGTTCCTCAATTGAAGAGGATTACCCGGATGATTTGGAATTCTCTGAAGATGAAGGGTTGCGGCCGGATAGGCCAGCATTCACGGGCCTTTTCCGCCCTTCAGTCTTCAAATCCTTATTCCATAAGGCTAAAGTGGCGACCAATATTGGAGTGGTTGAGGACCATTCTGATCAATCTCAGGGATCAGCTGCTCCGCATGATGACCTGTTTATGGTTCCAAAGCAGGAACAGGAATTCATTCCTTGTCCAAAATTGTTTTCTGAGGTCATTCAAAGACCGTGGAGCCAGCCTGGGTCATTGGCAGCCATGACAAGATACTTTATTATTCTGCTCCCGACCTAGAGGAGCTTTTGCAGTTGCCCTCGGTAGATGCCCCGGTAGCCAGTCTCAAGTCTTTCACTGTTCTTTCCAATGATATAGTGGAAGGCCTGAAGTCTGAGGACAGGAAGGCTGAAATGTCTTTCAGAAAGATGCACCAAGCGGCCACTTGGGCTATTAGGGCCGCTACTTCGGCCTCATTCTTCAACAGCATCAAGGCATTGGTGAGGCAGGTTGTGTCCCAACGGTCAGTTCCCTTACTCCTCTTGTCTCAACTGCTAGGGAAAATGATTTCCTGCATAGCAATTGTGCCCTGAGTCCGCCGACATGCTTGGTCACTACAATGGTTTTTACTGCCATACCAGAAGACGGGGCACAGCAACTCCAGGGCCAAGGTGGTAGTTTCGACTTGTGTTCGTCTGTCGTTCAACTGGTGGAGGTCGACGGCCCTGCAACAAGGGTGTGTGTTCCAGGAACCCAACCACATCACACTAACATCGGATGCGAGCCTCTACAGCTGGGGCGCACATCTTATGTCTCAAATGGCCCAAGGCCAGTGGTCTCCAGAGGAGCAGATGAACAGCATCAATTGGTTTGAGTTTTGGGCAGTGAGACTCTCCCTACGGCATTTTCAGGCTGAAGTGTCGGGTCGACATGTCCTGATTTTAACGGACAATATGGCCACGAAGGCCCGTATAAATCAAGAAGGGGGCATTCAGTCCAGATCTCTGATGGCCGAGGCAGAGAGGTTGATGTGTTGGGCGAAAAAGCACATACTGTTGGTGAAAGCGGAACACATATCGGGTGCTTCGAACATTCAAGCAGACTGGCTGAGCAGGGAACACCTGGATCAGTCCGAATGGCGTCTACATCCTCAGCTCTTTCTGGAGTTGTCTCAGATGTTCGGCATGCCAGTACTCGACCTCTTTGCCCATCCAGAGAACACGCAGCTTCCACGGTTTTTCTCGCAGTTCCCGAGTCTGGGAGCAGATGGTTGCAATGCTCTTCGTCACCCTCAGGGCCTCAGGGGCTGCTTTATGCGTTCCCACCAATACCACTCATTCCGTGGTTGCTACGGAAACTGTTGGCAGAATGAGCAGAACTCCTTCTTGTAGCACCTCATTGGCCACGCCAGTCCTGGTTCGCAGACCTCATAAGCCTCTCCGTGTCCCGTCTCTGGAGGATTCCCCAGGACAGGATTTCTCTCAGCCAGGGGGTCGTTCTCCATCGTGAGCCCCAGTGGCTTCAATTGACCATCTGGCACTTGAGAGGATCCTCTTGAGGAAGACTAACCTTTCAGGGAAGGTGATATGCACCATGCAAGCATCCCCACGAACCGAATTTACGACGCCACGTGATGTGCCTTCTATCGGTGGTCTACAAAACATCATGTCGATCCTACATCAGCTTCCATCCCTGAGGTGCTGGAATTTCTGCAAGCGGGTCTCAACAAGGGATTAGCCCCCACCACACTATGGAGGCAGGTGGCCGCCTTATCGATGGTACTTGCTGGTGATTCCTTTCATACCCTCGCACAACATCCGAGAGGTCGCACCTTCCTTCAGGGGGCTACCAATCTCAGATCCCCAGTAGTGCATTGCTATCCAACGTGGGAGTTGCCTCTTGTCCTTCAAGCCCTTACATCTGCACCATTCGAGCCACTGGGCTCCGTCAGCCTCCGCTTCCTGACCCTCAAGGTGTCCACAAGGAGGATTTCTGATCTGGCGGCCCTGTCCATTCGGAAAGACCTCTGCATTTTCCATTCTAACCATGTAGTACTGGATCCTGCCTTTTTGCTCAAAGTAAATTCTTACTTTCATCGTGCCCAAGAACTAATTTTACCTGATTTCTAACCAGATCCACGCCATCCGCTGGAGGATTGGTGGTACACCTTAGATGTTCGGAGGGCCCTCAGATGGTATATTAAGCAAACTGCCTTGTTCTGAAGGACAGAGGCTTTATTTGTGTCATTTCATCCTTCCCCTATGGGGAAAAAAGTTTCTTCTTCAACAGTGGGCATGTGGCTGAAGGTCTGTATTTCAAAAGCATATGAACTCAAGGCCAAGCCCTTACCAGGACAAGTCTTGGCTCATTCTACTCGCAGTGCAGCCACTATGGCTGCTTGGGCTACCCAAGAATCAGTTGCAGACATAGGGTGGCCTCCTGGACAAATTGGACACTTGTGCTTTTGCTGAGGCATCATTTGGGAGGAGGGTTTTGCAAAGTGTAAACTCCACCCACGGCCCGGGGATCAGTCAGGTCCCTGCCCATGCATGGATTGCCGGAGCAACGCACTGGAAAACAGATGTTGGCTTACCTGAATGTTCATTTTCAGAGCGCTGCGACAACAATCCAGCCTGCCCTTTGGCCTTCACGATCCTGGCTTTCCTGGCCCTGGCCGGGGTAGGTTTTTTCCTGTTGTTTCTCCTGCAGATTCTCCTGTGGACTAACGCCTTCGTGAAAAAGACTGAAGACAATGAAGCACAGGAGATGTGGCCAAGGATTTGAAAAAAAATTAACACTCAGTCTCAAGCAAATAGCAAACTCTATTGTTCTGTTATTGAGATAAAGTATCTCAGGAATTTTACCACCAGAATATGTAATTTTATATGCATGGCTTGAGTGTAGATTAAATGTAAAATAGCTGTTCTCATGGCTTGAATTGGCTCTCATAGCTTTTATGTTGCTTTAATAATTAATGAGATCTAAGAGGATTGAGTAGGATTTCTTTCACACTGCATTGTATCACAGAAACTAACTGGAGGAATGGAACTGTAAATTGAAAATAAGTTTACTGGTATTGTTTGTCATTTTATTTTGACAGGTTAGTTGGTTAGAAAAGGGTTGTTGGATGGGCTTTGGGAGTGGTTTCTTTTTGTAGTTTTATCCTTTTTCTTCAGACAATCCTTTTTCTGCTTCCTGGTACAGTCATTCTAAATCTTCTGGAATCCTGTTGTGTGCTCACAGGATATGCTTTCTAACAGGCATACAAGAAAGTCATGGAGCCTTCAGAAGAATCTGTTCTTCGGTTTAGTAAATTGTAACTAAGAATGAAATGACGAAGTGTTTTGTTTTATTTATTAACATTAGACTTCAGCTACTACATTTTACAGAATAACAGTGGTTTTATTTTTACAGTTCCAGGTACAAGCATGGAGAAAAAGGAGAAGCCTCTCCCTAGGCTTAACATTCATTCTGCATTTTGGATATTATCATCGATAGCTATTACGTATTATGTTGAATTTTTTAAAGCTGTTAAGGAAATTATTCAAAATGAAAGGTAAAGATCTATTTTTATACAAATAAAAGTTGTTACTTTATTTGAACAACATGTTCAGCTTAGATTTTAGTTTGGAAAAAATACTTATTAAAATTATTTGTAGATCCTGCCACCTCTCAGTACATTACTCATGTTACCATTTGAGAAAATAAATTTCTTATTCTAAAATCATTTCAGAGCTAACTCAGTATTCCTATCTATACCCAGATTGCAAAGTTTTCATAGCGGACAGTAACTGAAGTAGTTGGGGTGGGAAACTAGCCAAGAAGACTCATTTAAATGATTTTATTATATACCATGTTTCCTGAAAATAAGACCCTGTCTTATTTTCTTTTGACTGCCGAAAAAACGGCTAAGGCTTCTTTTTGGGAGTGTCTTAATTTTTTCCCCCCATGTACCAGTATGAGGTGGGGAGAGTGAGCTTCGCCTCGCACTAGCTTACGTAATGTTCACATCAGCAGCCATCCATGCCAAACAGCCTCGCGAGGCCGCTCCAACAGCTGTGGCCACCAGGCTGCTTCTGCTGTGTAATTGCGGCCACAAAAAGACCGGGATGCCGAGTGATGCAGCCCACGCCAGCTTACCTAACGTTCGCAGCAGCCATCCATGCAAAACAGCCTTGCGACTTCTGCTCCAGCAACCCTGGCCACCGGGCTGCTTCTCTGTAATCACGGCTGCAAAAAGACGGGGAGGCTGAGCAACATGCCTCACACTGGTTTACCTAACATTTGCACCAACCATCCACACGAAAGAGCCTCATGATGGTCACTCCAGCAACCCTGGCAACCAGGCCACTTCTGCTGTGTAATTGCAGCCACAAAAAGTCTGGGATGCCGAGTGACATGCCCTACGCTCCTCTGGCCAGCATACCTAACGTTTGCACCAGCCATCCACAATTTTTTTGCTGGTGTTTATTTTGTCCCGACCTACGTGGCCCGGCGCAACAAAGAAGAGCTGCCTTTTCTTTGCAAAAAAAGTCTCTCGTTGCTGGAGGTTTTGGATTCGGTGCTCTTGGGTGGGATATTTGCAATCTCCTCTGTCCAAATATCCCACTGAAGTGACTTATGCCCATTTTTCACCCAGATGCTCATGGCAACATTGCCAGGGTGTCACACGGTCAACATTTAGTAGCTTGGCAACTAACTCATATTTATGATGGTTATAACCCAGGTCATGTAATCCTCTTTTGCGATGACCTGACAGTGTCAGCTTCCAAATTGAGGGATGAAAAAACCACCAAACACTGTTTTGGTTTGTAGGATTTTATCTCCACTCCAGCATGAACTGACCAACAAAGATTGCAAGATCCGCAAAACAATGGAATCAACTCAGGGCTAATCACCCAGTGCTCCCCACCAGCTTTTGAATGTTTCCCACCTCCCCACCCTATCGTGCGCAGCTCCAACCTGTGCATAGGCAGCCGCTGCACAGTTTATCTCACCGCCATGGCCCCTCAGCTGTTGCCGCCATTGTCACCTGTCAGCTGTTGCTGTGGCCGCTTCTCAGCTGTTTCCTCTGCCGTGGCATGGTTGTTGTTTGGTACATGGCCCCGGTGGGCGGCAGCAGGTTGGTTCCAGGCAACTGGCATGTCCGTGGACCCAGTGGGCGGCAGTAGGTTAATCACGGACAGGCAGTGAACTCAGTGGGTGGCAGTCCCAGGCAGGCGGTGATTTGCAGCCGTCCCTGCCTGAATGGTAGCCCTGGAGCTGACATGCGGCCCCCCCTACCACGGAGACAGCACCTGGAAGACAAATACTAAAGTGAGTGGGAATGCAGAGGACCCCCCCCACCCAGCTTGGCTGGGTGTTTCCAGTGGAATCTAGTGACCAAACACGTGGCATTTACAGCCGTTTGGGGCACCCACAAAGCCTCTGCTAGTGGATAGCCTTTCCATAGTATCAGCTATTGCAGCCATCCCCTATGCCATTGGGAGTCTTAAGATACCTTCTACTTCGTAATGTCCACTGTCCACTGTAAGGGGTGAGGGTGGTGGACGAGGGGCCCCTCTGAACTGGGTTGTCTGTGCTGGACGGAGTAAACTGCAGTGAAAGACCGGATGGTTTTAACTTAACAACTGCAGTGATTCCCTTGGCAAGTGGCAGGAAAGGTGGTAAAATGAAGCAGAATTTTTTTTTTTTTTTTGCCTCATTGCAAAAATTGCAAATCTCAACCACTACCCCCAGGCAACAACAATGCCAAATCCCAACCACCACCCCCAGGCAACCATAATGCCAAATCCCAACCACCAGCCCAGGGCAACCACAATTGCAAACTCTAAACCCCCCCCCACAGGGAAACTACAATGCTCATGTATGGTACAACAATCAATTTATTCAAATTCAACAATTTATTCAAATACAGTTACAGTATGACATCTTCTGAAGCATCTTCATAACTCTCCAAATCCTGTATTCCGGCCTGAATTTCTTTTGATTCCATTTCCTGTAAAACCATTGGTCCCAATAGCTTATGTCTAGCAATTGAGGTCTCCTTAAATGAGTACCTCATGTCCATGTAATTTGCTTGTAGTGCATTGGCAACACAGGTGTCAGTGATTTTATCCCATGCATTCTTCACCCAAGTCACGACCTCTGGCAGGTTAGCTTCACAATGTTTCCACGCTGATTTCTCTCCATTCTATTCTCAATGTAGTCATTGATTTCCATGTACAGATGGTCCTTGAATAGCTTGTTTACTGCAATGTCAAGAGTCTGGAGATATGCCGTCATTTCTGCAGGAATCATTATATGGACTATTCTCTGTGCAAGGAATTTATTTTTATATATATAATATATATAATTTTATATAATTTTATTTATGATTTTTTTTTTTACATCCATAAGTGCTTGGTGAACAGTGTGTTATCCGGGTCAATATGCTTTGTATACAATTCTGATAATATCATTTAAGTATACATAATTCTAATTTTTCAACTTCTCCATACTGTAGAAATGGGAGGTGCCAGGCTGGGTATTCTATGCTCTAGCTCTATGTCCTGAGTTGAAACTTCTGAAGATCCGCCTCCCTGGTGACGTCTCTTCAGTTTGTTTCAACTCAGCCTAGCTCATGGTTGCAACCTTTTCAGCTCCTGAGCTGTGAGTTGAGCATATTTGAATATTCCCTGGAATTTCTTATTTTTCCTTTTTTATTTTCCTTCTGCTTAGACTGAACCTCTTGCTTGGAAAGGTACTGGCTAAAGAGGGCTCTCCGCTCGCGGATTGAGCGTGGGGGGGGGTGGCTGACGGGCTCCCCCCAACCTCCCTAGCCTAGTAACGGCTCTGAGGGGCTAGCCGGCTGGCTTTCGCCCCGGTCCCTCTGTAAACTCTTTGGAAGCCTGAGGAGCTTCGTTTGGAGCCGCAGGAGCAGTGCGTGCCATTTCGGCCTGCCACGGCGTCCCTTTGATCGCTGCTGATCAGCTGTGAGGCGGAGTGGCATTTTGAACTGTGTTTTTCGCCTGATTAGCCTGGGTGCTGGCTATTTTTACTTAAATTGGAAGCGGAGGAGCCTCGGAGGCAGGGAAGGACTGTGCCAGCCGCCAGGGCCATTAAGGAAAAAAATTGTAAGTCGCGGCAGCTTTCGTTCCCGCGCAATTTCTGGCAGCAATTAGTCCGGGCGGCCTTGATTCCCCATCTGTCCTTGGGCACAGCGCTGGTGGCTCTCCACTTGGCGGATGGGAGTTTGGACTTCTGACCAGAACTTTTTGTGTTTGCGAGCTTGCCTTGCGGCTTGAACTGACTCTATTTCTGGCCCTTAACAGATTTTTTTATTTGAATTGTGGCAGTTGAAAGCGGCCATTTTGGATCTCCGGTGGCCATTTTGTCTTCAATTCAGGCCAGTATAGTTGTGATATTTCCTCACTAATTGAAGGGTTTTTGCCTATAACTGAGAATCTCTGACTTGAGGATCATGGGAGATGCTGATAGGCAAGCATCCTTTTCTGCTGAGGGATCTTGGTCCCCTCTTCATAACAGGGGTAGAGCTGCTTCTAGGCCACGAACTGCCAGCATTGCGGCAGCTAATAAAATTAAGGCCAAGGCTATGGCTCGCTCTGGGCGTTCCAAGGCCGAGGAAAAGACAGCGCAAGTTAGACAGCGTGCCTTGGACAGAGAATTTGCAAAGGCTGCTGCTTCTAATACGACTCCAGAACCCCATCAAGCTCCTGTGTCTGCACATCACCTGCCTGTTCAAAGTGCGGAATCAGCAGCTCCACAGACTGTGCATTCTCCTACTCTGGCAGGGCCGACTAGGCAATGGTCCCCTGAGATGCAGGCCGAGCCTCAGCCCCTCCTAGGGCCTTCTGTGGCTTCCAGTACATGCCCTGAAGCCACCTATACCCCCACAGCGGCTGGCCTTCGCCAGGGTGAGGGGGGGGAGCAGAATGTTTCTAACTCTATGAAGTCCTGGGTAGAGCAGGCAATTAGGCAAGGCATTGCAGAGAGTATGCAACTTCAATTGCAGATGTTTGCCCAAATGTACGCTTTCAGACCTCAGGTAGAGATTCAGGGCTTTATTGCACCTCAGGAGGACTACCAGGACCAGATGTCCCCTTCACCATCCGAATTGGCTGACTGAGGAGGATTACCGGGAGGAAGGGGAGATTTCTAATGGGGATCAGGATCTGCCCCCTAGGTCCCCCTTTAAAGGGTTGTTTAATCCGGCTCTTTTGAAGCCCTTACTGACAAAGGCCAAAGCTACCGCTCGTTTGGGTCCCGATCCTTCCCTCTCGGGTGCCAACTTGGGTAGTGGTGAGCAGGATGATTATTTGTTCACAGAGCAGGCCGTGGAGGCAGACACTATTCCTATTCCAGGAATGTTTTTGGACATGATACGTAGGCAGTGGACGGCCCCTGCTGCAGCCCCTCGGGCCTTGGGTCTGGATAATCAATTGTTTACGGTTGATTCTGATATGATTAAACTGTTGGAGGTTCCCAAGGTAGATGCTCCGGTTGCTGCACTCACCTCTTCTTCCGTGTTGCCGCCTGACGCTGAGGATGCCCTGA